CCAGTACCCCCACCCCTCTGACGCCCAGCGTACCACTCACGAAGCTGCTGAGGCGAAGGGATGTCCCGAGAGCGCTGCTGCTGCTGCCGCTGCGAGCGCTGGCCACCACCACCGCCGCTACGCTGCTGGGTACCACCCCGACCAGATCCACCCCCTCCACCACCACTGCCTCCTCCGCTGCCGCCTCCACCGCCTCCACCTCCGCCGCCTCCACCTCCGCCGCTGCCTCCACCACCACCGCTGGCACCACCACCACCGTCTCCGCCGCTGCTGCCACCACCACCACCACCCCCGCCACTAGCCCCGCCGCCACCCCCACTCCCTCCGCCGCCACCGCCGCCACCGCCACCGCCCCCTCCAGCTCCACCCGCGCCCTTGCCCCCCTTGCCCTTGCTGGAGCGACGTCTCCCACTAGGGGCAGACGCCGCGCCGACCGACTCTAGACCAAGCAGGTCGGCAGCAGCAGCAGAGGCAACAGAGGGCAGCAAGGGGGAAGGAGAGCACCCCTCAAAGATGGGGGTGCGAGGGTCACCACGAGAAGCACCTACAGCGACGATGCTCTTCTCCGCTGCGAGGAGGGCCTTCTCGAGGAGGTCGACGGAGAGGGTGGTGGGACAGACTGCGAGAAAGTGGTCCCTGACGACTCGAAGGGAGTCAGGGAGGCGCGCGACTACGTAGTAGAGAGCGATGTACATGGGGGGGGGGTTCTTAGCGCAGAACTCAGCAGGAAGGGCGGCGCGGTAGCGAGTGTCACTAGTGCGGAGGTGCGTAATGAGGTCAGCGACAGTGGGAAAGGCAGAGAGGTCAGGAAAGAGGTAGGGAAGCATGAGACGGCTCAGTGCAGCAGTGGCAGGGGAGGAGTAGCGCGCAACTACAGCGTCGTACAAGGTCTGAGCACTCTTGTACTGACTGAAGTGCGCACGCTCAGAGGTAGGGAGGTGGCGACGCACAGCAAGACGTGCAGCAGCATCGCGGGTGGCCCACTTAGAGCGGACAGCGGGCTCAGCATCAGCAGCAGGAGCAGGAGAGGCGCCAGAGGTGAGATCAAAGAGAGAAAGGTCGTCAGCCCTGTCGCACTGTAAGAACAGCTGCAGGTCGTCTAACCAGACCTCAAAATCAATGGCGCGACCCTCAGCGTCAAAAGCTAGGACACTAGGGGTAGCCATGGCGACGACAGCGACGCAGTGCTAGCAGCAGGGAAAGAGCTCGCAGTGTCAGTGGGACTGTGCTCACCAGGCAGGGCAGGTCGTGTAGGTATGCAGAAAGGCGGCTCGGGTGCTGGGCGGCTCGGCTGCTGGGCGGCTCGGGCGCAGGGCGGCTCGGCTCCCGGGCTGCTCGGCGGCTGGGCGGCTCGGGTGCAGGGCGGCTCGGCTCCCGGGCGGCTCGGCGGCAGGGCGGCTCGGGTCCCGGGCGGCTCGGCGTCGGGCGGCTCGGCTCACGGGCGGTTCGGCTGCTGAGGCGGCTCGGCCAGGAGATGCAGGGGCGGGGCCGTTTGGTGCAGCGGCGGGTTAACCGGTGCAGTGGCGGGCCGGCAGGTGCAGAGGCGGGCCGGCAGGTGCAGTGGCGGGCCGGCAGGTGCAGCGACGGGCCGTAGGGTGCAGTGGCGGGCCGTAGGGTGCAGCGGCGGGCCGGCAGGTGCAGCAGCGAGGCCGGCAGGTGCAGCGGCGAGGCCGGCAGGTGGAGTGGCGGGCCGGCAGGTGCAGCGGCGGGCCGTAGGGTGCAGTGGCGGGCCGGCAGGTGCAGCGGCAGGCCGGCAGGTGCAGTGGCAGGCCGGCAGGAGAGGCGGCAGGGCCGCGTCAGGGGAGGCGGCAGGGCCGCGTCAGGGGAGGCGGGGGAGCCGCGTCAGGGGAGGCGGCGGTGCCGCGTCAGGGGAGGCGGGGGAGCCGCGTCAGGGGAGGCGGCAGGGCCGCGTCAGGGGAGGCGGCGGGGCCGCGTCAGACAGGCGGCGGGGCCGCGTCAGGAGAGGCGGCGGAGCCGCGTCAGGGGAGGCGGCGAGGCCGCGTCAGGGGAGGCGGCGGAGCCGCGTCAGGGTAGGCGGCGAGGGCCGCGTCAAACAGGCGGCGGGGCCGCGATCAGGAGAGGTGGCGGGGCCGCGTCTGAGGGACAGCGGGGCCGCGAGGGAAAAGGCGACCCGAGGGGGTCGCTAAAAAAAAGGCGCGCCTCGGGGCGCGCTTCGGTGGGCCCTAAAAAAACGGTCCTAAGGTAGGACCCGCTCTATACCATGTGAAGTAAAGAAAACAGGAATGAAATGACTAAGGAAAGATTGGGTACAAATACAACCCTAGAAAACCTGTACCCCATATGTGCTACCCCACTATAGCCTACAGCAACTATGTCATATAAATCTGACAGCTGCAAATGCCTAGCTGAATTCCGCCACCATCTCACCCTCCCTCCCACGGCGGCACGTGCAGCAGTGGGATACAGAGGAGGAGGGGCGACTGCTGGCTCGGCAGAATCTCTCTCCACTCCCTCACACTCTCCCCCTTTCCCCTCACCCTCCCCCCCGCTACCTCTCCCCCCCCTCACGACGGACCCCGCTGAAGGGAGGGGAAGGACGGGCTGCAGGCAACTCACACACGCCACCCCCACATCTCCCCCCCCCCACGGCGGAAGCTGCGGAAGGTAAGGGGGGGGGCGGCGTTAGCTGCTGCTGGCGCTGGCGTCGTCGTTGGCGCTCGCGCAGGTGCTGGCGACGGGCGCTGGTGCTGGCGCACATGACCGTGCGCGGGTGCGCACGGTCGTACGCGGCTGCGCGCAGCAATGCGCGGCCGTACGCAGCTGCGCGCGGGTGCTCGACGAGCAGGGCGCAACGGGCGCGACGGGGAGGGCGCCACGGACGGGACGAGCAGGGCGCAGGAAGCGCGGACGTGCAGGGCGCTGACGGGGGGCCGAAACGAGGCCGCATCTGACGCCGTCGCGCAGCTCGCCGCCGAGACCGTTTTGACGGTCGCGACCATTGCAACCGTCGTAACTACGGCCGCGACGGGGGGCGTGACGAGCGCCATGAGCGGGGGGATACGTGGTGGGCCCATGGGGAAAAAGAAAAGTAGGTCTTAGAACGACCCAGCTCTTAATACCATGTCAAAATAGTAGATTAAGTGAAGACTAGGGTTTGGGGTAGTAGGAGACTTGGAGAGGAACATGTCGAGAGAGTTTGCCAAAAGAGGATGAGTTCACTATTGAGCGAGGTACAAATAGCAAACAAAGCATGCAAAGAAGTTGCACCACCAACAAGTTATAATAACTACACTAAACTACAGCTACAGGCAGTTACATTTATATTTCAACAGTAACAACCCTGATAAAATTAGCCATGGTCACTGCTAAGCGCGTACACCACTGTTCCCGCCAACAGCACTCAACAGTAAACCGTACCACTCACGACACTCGCTTCGATACTGTTCATGCCACCGTTCACGACGCGACCCAACCTTACGGTTCGGTTGGTGCCCGCGCTCCAGACCTCTGCCTCGACAATTCCCAACCTCGGCACTAGGCCCGTCGCGCACCCCATTTCACACATTACCGTTACCACTGTAATTTCGCTATATATTATTCGCTCGTGCTTTCGCTCAATGTACTTTTTGCTTAGATAGTGCAATTATCGCTCACTTAGCAACAGAATATTTGCATTAAGTACATTACACCCGTTTTCTCATCCTTTTCACCTTGCGCGACTCGTTGCTACAGAACCTGACTCTTGCGATCTGGCGCCATTCAACGTTCCTAGACAAACTGGCTCAAGGGCGTACAGTTTCCGTAATCGCTGTATACCCTTCTCAACCGAATGAAAACGTTCTTAAAGCTGTTTGTAAAGTGCATCACCTTATCTAACTGCATTCTTTGCGTTGTGCTTGTACAGTAGGTGACAAGACCGTTCTGAACGTGGTGACGTTCTAAAACTCGTGTAGATCTGTAACCAGAATCTCTACTATCGCGAAAGAAGGTGTACATGGTGTGGAGAGACATGGCGCGCCCCCTCCCTCGATCGATCGCGAGATCGCAGTGAAAAACCGATCGGGCACACCGATCGCAGGTTTGGGGAGGGATTGGTAGGAGGTGACAGTCGCGGATCGATCCCGCGCCCTGGGTGACAGGATCGAAAATACAAGGGGGAAAAACCCTCGATCCTACAAAAGCCGAGATCGGTGTGGCCACTAAGGCACATCGATCGTCATCACCTTAGTTGACAAGATCGCCGGGTACCATTTACTGTACATTCGCAAGCTATCTCAATTTTTTGTTACCCTGTCAATTACGACACTGTAGGTGGTCCTCGACTGAACGAGGTCAGGGATCGATCGAGGAAGAGGACACGCCCTAAGTACTCGGAAACCTTTGTAGGGCATTCCTGGTGTTGCGCCCACTTACCGAAAGATCTGCTGTGTTTGCTGTCGTGTGCGTGATGGGTTTGCGCCTCCTGGCTCGGCCTTGGCGATGATTGGTCAGATTAGTCGAGCCGCGACATTGAGTTCAGGCTTGGCGAGTTACGTGAGTTTCGAAATGCGATAAAATTACACTGTCGGTGATGCCAAGTCCGAGTCGCGATGCCACATTGTTTCCAGCCCCCTCCCCTTGCACGAAAAGCTGTCCATTCAGAATCTCAAGCTTCTCCAGAATGTTGAGTCCCAGGCACGAAGCTCGAATGCGCAATTTTCTACGCTCGTGTATCAAGCGACATGGGCTCAATCACGCCGTCAGGGAGTAACAGAGAACATCCTTAGTCCAGGCACATTGACTGACTAATGTGATGCGTAATGAATTTGGCCACGTTTTTTGTCGGTCACGCGTCGCGAGTTGCATGTGCCTGCCAGACAAGTCTCAGAGTGCCCAACGACTTTCACGAGACCCAAGTTCAAATAGGCCCAGGTTAACTTGTCCAGCACATATGAAAGCAGCAAGACATCGGTAGCAATCGACAGTTGTCATTCGCTTTATACACAGCGATCGTCTACCTTCTAGTTTACGTTTCGCCTCGACACTGGTAGCTCCAAGCCATGGCTCGCCCGTGCCACACAATGGGCGTCGTGACTCTTCTCCTTCTGGCGTTCGCCCTCCTCTCCGCTCACGCTGCGGAGATGAAAACCCGCGACGACCTCGCCGGTTCCGGAGGAACCAACAAAGATTTATCAACAACTACGACACCGTCACTCCCGAATCGGTCATCACCCCCCGGCCCAGGGACCCCCAGCCTGTCGCCGAGCCTGTTCCCGAGCCAGTGACTCCCGAGCCTGCTACTCCCATCAGTCCCGTCACCACTCCTAACCCCGTGTCGGCCTCTCAGGACGTCTTCACTGATGATCCCTTTGGCACTCCGAAGCCGTCGGTCACGAATGCGGGCCCGTCGTTCGACCCCAACGACCCTCTGGGCGGCAGGGACCCTCTCGCGGGCGACGACACCAAGGCCGGTATGCAGCAGACAAGCGCGACCGACTCCAGCGCGTATGACGGCACTGCGCAACCCAACCAGGTAAACCAGTTGCCCCCGACTTTCCCCAATGCGCCCGCCAACGACACTGGCGTCGCCCAACCGGCCACCTGCGACCCGTCCGACCTGGCCGGTTACACGTCGTCGCATCAAATCACCAAGCACGGCCACGTCCTGCACTGGGCCGTCGTCTCCCCAACGGTCGTCAAGATCGCGTTCGAGGCGAAGCGCGGCAGCGGCGCGGCGTTGGGATGGGTGTCCGTGGGGTTCTCCAAGGACGGCAAGATGTCGCCGGCTGACGCAATCATTGGCAACCTTCCCGACTCGCCCATCGCAGCGTACTCGATGACTGGATACGACGCGGGGTCCATCACGGTCAACAAGAACCTGTGGATCGGCGATGACGCCAGCCTCGTGTCAAAGACCAACGGCAGCCTCATCATGAAGTAAGCCCTTCCACACCTCGCCTCTAGAGTGATGGTTGCATCAAGAAACCCTTTTCTGTAACTCTGGCACACGTTCGTTAATGTTTTCCGTCTGGTTGACGCTTTCAGGTTTTCGAGGGTCCATCACTGATGGCGTTGCGCCCATCTCCACGACTGCGCCCGTCACCGTCATCTGGGCGTTCTCAGCCGACAACACCAAGCCGCTCGCCTTCCACGGTGACAAGAGACGGTACGCCCGCACTCCCTTCAATTCTGCCCTTGTCTCACTTGCGCCGCCTAGTTCGCACTTTTTCCTCTTTCCCTTGCGGCTTACCTCGAGTTTCTGGTTGCGTTTTCCTCTTCGCAGTGGCTCTTTCCAGGTTGACTTCTCGTGCAATGGCGGCAGCGGCGTGGGGATGCAGCCGACAACACCTGCGCCGGTGCCGGTCCAGGATACGCAGGTGACGGTGGGGTCGTCGTGCTCGGTGTCGACGCTCGGCCAGTACGACCATCAAGCTGACCTTTACGACGGAAAGTACGCGTTTTTTCTCCCCTTGCAATAACCTGCGGTGCTAATCATGCCGTATTACCATAGAATCTGTCATAACGACCATTCATGTCTCGGTTAGGTTCATCTTTTTCCTGCCTAATGCTGTCTGCTCGCTTCTCTCTGTTTTCTCTCGCCACTGGCAGGATTCTGCTGCACTGGAAGGTTCTGTCCGGCCCCGTGTTCCAGATGGCTTTCGAGGCGAAGCGCCTCAGCGGCGCGGAGAACAGCTGGATTTCCGTTGGCTGGTCCAACAACGGGGCCATGGCGCCTGCCGATGCTGTCGTTGGTAACATGCCCGGGATCAAGGCATACCGCCTCGATGGTTACAAACTGACTGAGCTCGTGAACGGCACGTTTTCGCTCGGGCTCAACCCGTCCGTCCCACCACCTCGGCTTCTGGGTCCACAGTTGTGAAGTAAGTGACTTGCTTATCTGGTGAAGTAAGTCCACCAGAGCGTCCCGTAATACCCGATATAGGCGTTCTTCCTTGCAGTAGGAATCGAACATGCGCACGTCTAAACCCATGTCGATTTTCTCTCGTTTCCACAGGTTCTCCCGTACCAACGGGGACGGCGGCACAGTTCCGATCAACCTGAGCGGCGAGACGTACGTCATCTGGGCCTTCTCCCGCGGCATGCTTCAGGCGTTCGGCTATCACGAGTACAACAGGTGCGCCCACCATGGGTTGATCAATTTGGTTTAGGCACCAGAAACGTACTTCCGACTATGTTGGCTGTACTGAATGTACTTGTAACTCGCCAATTTTAATCGCAGGGGTCTCGCCATGGTTGATTTCCTCTGCAACACTGCCCCCACCACCCTGATGCGACCTGGCGAAAATGTT